AAGTAGAAAGATTTCAAATAAACAACCTAATAATGCACCTCAAGGAATGAGAAAAGCAGGAACAAATGAAACCAAAAATTAGCAGAAGGAAAAAATATTAAGGATCAGAGCAGAAATAAATGAAATAGAAACTAAAAAAATACAAAGGATCAATGAAACAAAAGGCGGTTTTCTAAAAAATAAACAAAATTGATAAATAACTAGCTAGACTAACCAAAAAAAAAGTGGGGTGGGGAAACCCCAAGTAAACAAAATCAGAAACAAAATAGGAGACACTGCAACTGATACCACAGAAACACAAAGAATCACCAGTAACTATTATGAATCATATATGCTAACAAACTGGAAAACTTAGAGAAAATGGATAAATTCCTGGACATATACAACCTGCCAATTAAACCAGGAAGTAATAGAAAATCTGAATAGACCAATATTGAGTAATGAGATTGAATCAGTAATAAAATTCTCCCAACAAAGAAAAGCCCAGGACCAGATGGCTTTACTGCTGAGTTCTACCAAACTGATAAAGAAGAATTAACAGCAATTCTTTTCCAGTTATTCCAAAAAACTGAAGAGTGGTCCAAGAGGGGACAATATCCAGAATATATAAGGAACTCAAACAACTCAACTGAAAAAAAATAATGTAATTAAAAAGTGGACGAAGGGCCGGGTGCGTTGGCTCACGCCTGTAATCCTAGCACTCTGGGAGGCCGAGGCGGGCGGATCGTTTGGGCTCAGGAGTTCGAAACCAGCCTGAGCAAGAGCGAGACCCTGTCTCTACTAAAAATAGAAAGAAATTAGATGGACAACTAAAAATATATAGAAAAAACTAGCCGGGCATGGTGGCACATGCCTGTAGTCCCAGCTACTGGGGAGGCTAAGGCAGGAGGATCACTTGAGCCCAGTAGTTTGAGGTTGCTGTGAGCTAGGCTGACGCCACAGCACTCTACTCAGGGCAGTAGAGTTAGACTCTGTCTCAAAAAAAAAAAAATAGTGGATGAAGGAGCTGAATGGACATTTCCCTCTCTCTGCCCCTCCCCCCACCCTCTTTTTAAGAGACAGGGTCTCATTCTGTTGCCCAGGCTGGAGTGCAGTGGCTCAATCATAGTTCACTGTAACCTTGACCTCTTGGGCTCAAGTTATCCTCCTGCCTCAGCCTCCCAAGTAGCTGGGACTACAGGCATGCACCACCATGCCCAGCTAATTTTTTAAATTTTTTGTAGAGATTGTGTCTCAGTATGTTGCACAGGCTAGTCTCGAACTCCTGGCCTCAAGTGATCCTCCAGCCTCAGCCTCTCAAAGTGCTGTGATTACAAGTGCAAGTCTCCATTCCTGGATTGAATAGATATTTCTCAAAAGAAGATATATGAATGGCCAACAGGTTTATGAAAAATGCTCAGCATCACTAATCATCAGGGAAATGTAAATCAAAACCATAATGAGATATTATCTTATCCAGCTAGAATGGCTATTACCAAAAGGACAAAAAAAAAAACCAAAAAACTGCTGACACATAAAAAAGGGAACTCTAATACACTGTTCATGGAAATGTAAATTAGTACAGCCATTATGGAAAATAGTACAGATGTTTCTTAAAAAACTAAAAATAGAACTACCATATGATTAAGCAATCCCACTACTGGGTATTTATCTAAAGGAAAGGAAATCAGTATATCAAAGGGATATCTGTACTCCCATATTTATTGCAGCACTATTCACAACAGCCAAGATACAGAATCAGTCTAAGTGTCCATCAATGAACGAATGCATAAAGGAAATGTGGTACATATACAAAATGAAATACTATTCAGCCATAAAAAAGAATAAAATTCTGTCATTTGCAGTTATATAGATGGAACTCGAGATCATTATATTAAGTGAAATAAGCCAGGCACAGAAAGACAAATTGCATGTTCTCGCTCATATGTGGGAGTTAAAAAAGTTAATTTCATGGAGGTACAGAGCACAATGATAGTTAGAAGAGACTGGAAGCGGGGCCGGTGAGGTGGGCAGGTGAAGAGAAATTGCTTAATGGGTACAAACACAGAGTTAGAAGAAATAAATTTCCAGTGTTCAACAGTATAGTAGGGTGACTATAGTTACCAGCAACATATTGTTGATTTCAAAATAGCTATGAGATTATTTGAAATATTCCCAACACAAAGAAATGATAAATGTTTGAGGTGATGGATAAGCTAAGTACCCTGATTTTATCATTACACATTGTATGCATGTATGAAAATATCCCACATACACCATAAATATGAACAAACATTATGTATTAAAAAGAATTTCATGGGAGCCAAAAACAAGTCATGCTTAAAGGCTAGGATAAGAAAGGTGGTAATAGAAAAAATAACATTCTAAAACTGACAGAGTCGTCTGGTAATGAAGTCTGGATTTTAGGGAAGGTGCATAGTTCATCGCAGGTTAGGACATTTTAAGAGTTGAAACTTGCAGGAGCAGATTATTAGTGACAGTACTCATCTTGTATCAACAACTGTATACAGTCTGACATGGAGCAGATGGCATGAGTTTTGAGAATATTAAGCTTGTGGGAGATAAACAGAATTGTTGCTACAGTAACTATGCTTTCGGTCATCCTTTAAAAAAAAATGGATCCCATTAATGCAGTCATCACTGGTGCTTCATGTTTTTCAGGGAAAATTGATGGTCGAACCACCATTTTAACTTAGCATTTTAACTCATTTCCATGCTGCTGGTGTCCCTTGAGTCCCAGATTGAACACTAGGGGTGCCGGGCCCAGGATTCAGGCAAGTCTGGGTCAATCTGGAGGATAGAGATAGGGAACCAAATATGGTTCTCTTTTCAGAAACGCCAGATGAATCCCCTAGGGAAGAAGCCATGGCAAAGGAAAGGGCTGCAGTTTAAGCAGCAGAGGTATGGGCAGCCTTCAGGAGTCCCAACAGTGACTTCTAGTTTGTTTGGTGTCAAGCACAGCCACTGACAGTGAGGTGGAACCTAACAAATAAGGAACAAAATGGTGGATACCGCAAGAACAAGTTCTCAGAACGTGTGACAAACGTGTGTGGGGCGTGGTTCCCAAAGCTATGGGAGTACTTTGAGGGGTTTTGATTCCTATAGACGTTGTGGGTATGTAGTTTTTTTGCATCCCTTATTGTTACTCTGGTCTTATTCTCAGCTGTCTTCACCTGGAAAACACAGATTACTTCTATATCTCTGAAAATACTAGAAGTGTCATCATCAGATGGCACACACAAGTGTGCTTCTTGTTTCTGTCTTTAAAAAAATAAGCATTAAAAGTATCATTTGGTGAAAACAGCAGCTATCAGGAAATCATTTAGCCAAGATGAAAAAAATCCCTGAATAACTTTTAATCTTCAAATAAGAATTCTCTGTTCTTGGGTCAGACAGATAAATGACGTGGCACTTAGACTGATCAAATTCAGTTCCGATGCAACCGTGTATCAGACGGATATGTGATGAAAACGTTCTTTGGCATCACGCTGCTTTTTTAGTTTGCATAGCTTGTCAACTTTATAGCATTTGTATTTAATTTAGAAAATATTATAAAACAACCTAATAACAACTTCAAGATAAAAAATAATTGTACACACTTCACAGCTCCTTCCTATTACACGAATGTGTAAATTAAATTCCCTCTCAGGAGACAAAAACAAGGTTTGGCTTCCCAAAAATGTTTTCATTGGCTTTAGGGAACTAAAACACGCCGGTGTCTGGGTGACTAATACTTCCTGTAAAATAAAGATAGATCAACACATAATTAAGTTCTGGCTCAAATATAATTGTTGTCATGGAAACAGTTTGGGGGATAAATATGGTTATGCTAATGAAACTCTCCATGATTTCCACTAATGATTCAGTTTATCAATTAGGCCAGGCCATCTTACTACCTTATGCTACCCATTTTGGAATATTTAAAAAGACTGAAGGAAAAAAAAAACACACAAAACTTCCTGAGAGAACACTGAAGGGGAGGGAAAAGGGAAAGATCTTTAATTATTTATCAGCTCTTGTAAGGATTCTAGTTGAAGGAGTCGATTGAAAGTACTTTTGGATTATTTGTGGTTTTCAAAAAGATCCTTCCTACCCGACTAAGCAGAAAAACAGAGTTGTATAGACAGCACTTTGAACTAATGATCCTTAGCATTATTTCTCTGATCTCGATATCCTAAATAGCCAGCGTGTTCTAGTTCCAGCTTGGAGTATTCAGTAGTTTTGTAGGAAGTTCTACTTACTGCGTAACCCAAAGAGGAGCTTGCCTGCTCTGTGGGGTTTTGTTGGGGCCGAGTGTGAACTCCGGGCCCCAGAGCGCATCTCAGCTCTTAGATCACACCCTCTCGGGGTGTGCGCGTGAGTGTGTGCGCGGGTGCCTGCGCGCGTGTGTACGTGTGGGGAGGTGTGCGCCAAAGGGGTGGGGTGCAGGGCAGCGACGAGGGCTCTAGGTGCAGCACGAGGAGAGGGAGGTTGCCCGCTCCGGCTGCTCCCCCAGGAGCCCAGGCTGCTCGCTGGCGCTCGGGCTGCACCTCCTGGTGCTCGCCGCGGCGGCGCCACAGGCCCCTCAACCCTTTGACCACCGCCCTCCGGCCGCCCGTCCCGCAGCCGGGATCCGCGATGGCGCGGGACTGACGGTCCCCTCCCCTGGACCCCTCCGCCCCGCCCGGGGTTCACGGGGACCGCGGCGCCGCCCCAACCTGCATGTGGGGCGGGCGCACTCGCGCCCGGAGCGAGCGGCCCTTGGCGCCCCCCGAGGCGGTGCCCGGCCGCGCCAGAGAACGAGGAGGAGGCGCGGCGGGCCGGGCCGGGCTCCCCACGCGCGGCGGCCCGGGAGCACGGGCTCCCCGGAGGGAGCTTGGGGCGTCCCAGCCCAGGAGGAGGGACCCGGAAGCAGAAGCGGAGCCGCGAGTCGAGCCGAGCCGCTGCCCCCGCTGCCCGCCGGCGCCGGGTGGGGGTCCCGGCGGCTGGATGGGCAGCGGCGGCGCGGGCCGCGGGCGGCGATGGGCGAGGAGCAGAGCACGGTGAGCGGCGGCGACCGGCCCCAGGAGTCGCGGGCCCTGGCCGGTGGCACCGCGGGCCACCCCGAGCCCGCGAGGCCGCGGGGGGACAGCGCCGGGGCGCCCGGGCCGCACGCTGCCTCAGCCGAGTCGAGCGGCGGTGGCTGCGGAAGCAACTCGGGCTGCGCGGACACGAGCACCCCGGAGCCCGCCAGGAGCTGGGGGACCCCGGCCTGGAGGAGGAGCCAAGCACCGGGGCTGTCCGCGGGACTGGCACTCAACGGGCCTCTCAACCCCCAGACTTTGCAACTGCAGCTGGAGCAAGAGGAGGAGGAGGAGGAAGCTGGGGACCGAAAAGAGGGAGGGGATGAACAGCAGGAGGCGCCCCCCGGCGAGGAGCTGGAGCCCAGGACCCGCGACGGGGCTCCCAATGGACTGGTCCTGGACGTGCTAGGTCAGCAGCGCCCGCTCCCCGCCAAGAGACAAGTCTTCTGCTCCGTGTACTGCGTGGAGAGCGACCTACCCAAGGCCCCCGCCGGGGAGCAGCGCTCGCCGCCCGCGTCGCCAGGTCGGGCTCCGCCGGTGCCCAACCCTCCTAGCACCCCTTCTTCCTTCCCCAGTCCCCGGCTGTCCCTCCCATCGGACCCCCTCTCCCCCGACGGCGGCAGCATCGAGCTGGAGTTCTACCTGGCGCCAGAGCCATTCTCCATGCCCAGCCTGTTGGGAGCTCCACCCTACTCTGGCCTGGGTGGGGTAGGGGATCCTTATGCGCCCCTCATGGTGCTGATGTGCCGGGTGTGCCTGGAAGACAAGCCCATCAAGCCCCTGCCCTGCTGCAAGAAGGCCGTGTGCGATGAGTGCCTCAAAGTTTACCTGAGTTCCCAGGTAACTTCACCCCCTTCGTACCCCTTTCTCTTCCCCATTCATCATTCCAAATCACTGGTGAGGAGGTCCAGCTTTGGAGCTCCCTGCTCATGGGAAGAGGTGACTGAGACACACTAAGGACCTCTATCAATTTCTGACATCTCAGTGTTGTTATTACTTAAGTGTGTTTTGTCCTCACTGGTTTACTTGACTGGAATTTAACTCTGCTCTGAGCTTCAGGCTCTGGTTGGCAGCTGCAGAAGGCACAAGGTAGAATCAGTTGCCCTCTGCTTATTTCTTTTACTGGATTGCAAGCAAGAGCTTGCTCAAAGGAGGAGGGCAAAAGACTGCCTCATCAACCTGGTATCCCAGAAACTAACAAGCAGTGGGCATAAAATAAATATTTATAGAGCTGGTGGAGAGAAGGGTTGGAATAAATATTCCAGGCCCATGATACCTGAATTTTTAATTTTGCCCATTTATAATATTCCAGAAAAGTGTAAATTAAAAAAAATATTCCTTGGCCCTTGCCCGCTTTTCAGTTTTCTTTTAGCACAGTAAAGTCGAAGTACTTCTCTTCACTGAAGTTTTAAGCCAACACATACTTTATTTCTTTAAGAGGAAAACAAAACAGAAAGAGCAAAACAAAGCAAAGAGTGGCTAAGAGGTTTAACAACACAAGTGCTGGTGAAACTTTCGTCCTTGGCCTCTTATTTGAAAACTTGGTTTTTTTCTTGGAAAGCTTGAGAGTACAACAGACCAGCTTTCCTTCACTGATGGTGCATGTGTTCTTCCAGCAGTTTTCAATCTGTGATGTTTCTGCCAGTGTTTTGCACAATCCGGAATGCCCTTTGATCCATGTCCAATTGTCCTTGGCCTATTCATCTTTCAAAACCCTGTCTGTTCAGGTGCCAACTCTTCTGTGAAGCCTTACAGGCCACTGCTTATATACTTTCAAAATATCTTACATACCTTATGTGCACTGAAGTTGTTCCTTAAGTGTCTGTTTGTCTTGCTAGACTGTCTGGACAATGTCTTACAGTCCCGTATGTGGTAGTTTCACGTTGAGTCCCTTTCACGCAATAGCATTTAATAACATTGGCCAAAGCAGACTGAACCGGGCTCACTTGGTGTGGTTCTTCTTTGTTTTGTGGCTAATCCAAGCTGGGGTCTAGACTGAAAGTATGCACAGTGCCCAACTGAAAATGCAACGGGAAATTGAGAATGGAATGTTACACAAACAGTGAATTGGCCAAAATAGTTGAGATTATCCAAATGCCTGGGAGAGACTATGATGTCTGTTTCATGCTTTATCCACAAACAGACATTTAAAACAGGAGCAATGTCTGTTGCTTGTTGTGGTAGTTTCTATGACATCACCATTAAACAGATATTGCTGTGCAAAGCCCTGTGGTAGGATTCAGAAATTTCCAAAAAATGGGAGCTGCTCCAAAGAATTCACTGTGAGAGCAGATGTGTACAAAAGAACAATACAAGGTAGCATATAATGAGATGTCAACAGAGTAGCAATACCAGATAGCACTTCCTGTGAAATGCTGGATACACATACCAGTGGGTTTGGAAGTTCAAGGGAGGTAGTCATTGTGGGTTGGGGTACTGTGCATAGCAGTTTGAGTTCCTTAAGGTGGGCCCTTTGCCCACAGGATTTTTCTTTTTATTTTTTATCCACCATAAGTTAGTTTTAGGAAGTCAGTGTTTTGGTCTCTAACAGAAAAAAGGAGGAATGGTGGTGGGGGAGGAGAGCATACAAGGTGAGTCAGGTGGTCACTGCACTGTACAGTATAAGCACTAAACACTCCTCTGAAGTGACATAGACCTGAAGCTTATCTGCAATATTTATGATTGTATGTATGTTCCTGACCTTCTCCCAAAGCATTTGACAGAACTTTCAATAAAGAAAAATGTATATTATTTAAAACAAACAACAAAAACAAAAATACAAGTCATGTATGCCAGGCAAGCTTTCACCTCAGGGATTTTGCATTTGCCGTTGTCTGTGCCTGGAACATCCCCCTCCATGTCCCTTTTGTATGCTCACTCTGCTCCCCTTCAGGTCTATATTCAAATGTCCGTGACCTTCACTGACCACTCTTTTCAAACTTGAGCCTCACCCCACACTATCTCTTTTCCTGGTTTTTATTTTCTCCGCAGCACTAACATACTCTGTCTTATCCTTAAGTATAAAGACAGAAGCTTTCACATGATTTGTTCGCTTCTATATCTTTAGCATCTACAACAGTGTGTAACCTATAACAAATTTGCAACCAATAGTTACTGAATTTATGAAGAGCCTGAGATTGCCCAGAAACCAACGCTAGGAAGTGGTGTTCTGCTTGGGCACTAAATTCTATTCCGAGCTTCTTAATATTTAAGATAAAAGATAAAGGCTTAAAGCAGACAAAAATAACAGGTTTACTAAGTTGGTTATTAAACTGAGTATTAAACAGTTTAGGTAAACTTTGAGCTTATTAAAAATAACCTTTTTCAGTTGGATAAAAATACAGGATTTTGGCTGTAATGTTTTTGATCTATATTAATTCTAAGGTTCCTCTGCTCGGAGTCTGTTTTTCTCTGTCACTTGATGTCTTCGTGCCTTAATATCCTCATCAATGAAATGTAATTGCAGACGATGATCTGTAATAACCTACCAGTTCCAAAGCAAAACAAAATCAAATTGCATGGTTGTTTTGCTGCCTTACTGAGCTAGATCAAAAGGGCATAATGAGTGCTTTCTTTCTCATTTTATAAGGTTTCTTAGGTTTGACAGAAGCAAGTGTGTCATGACTGAACTTTCAGGGCTCTTAAAACCTTTGGAAATAAAATGATATATTTGAAATAAAAAGCTACTGGTGACTTTTTTCACCGTTTTTTTTTTAGTTTTTGCCACATTACTTAGTGTGTTTTAACATAATTTAAGAAAATAAAGCAGAGTCCCTAGTAAGCATTTTATGTAAACATTAAAAGTGCATATTAAATGTGAGTTGGAATATTGCCTGGTTAAATATCTTCTAAGAGGAGATGCTGAGTTCTTTGAAAGAAGATATGAACTTGGAAGATTTTTAGATGATAAGACTATTTCCATTAGTGCCATGGACTGAATATGTGGCAAAGGCTGTTGTGTAGGTCTCATCAGTATGTCAGTACAGGCATAGTAGATTAGGTGGTGACTTAAGTATCTCTATGCAGCGGCATAATAGTTGTATTTTTCAAAACATAATTTTCCTCCTGTTGTTGCCATGACTGGGGCTGAGGGAACCCTTCTCAGTGGAATAACTTTACAGTGTAGTATGTACCATCCAATTTCTAATTGCCATGGTGAAGGGTTAAACTGATGGATTATAAATCTTTGGCACCACAGTAGATGTTGATTTAGAGGGTATGGAATACAAGGGCAGAGATAGTTACATTGTTTTATATTGCCTGGGTACATAAATCCTGGGCATAGACATGTTAGAAATATATTTCCCAGTAACTTATGTATGCATACATGACTATGGCTAAAGCACACAATCCCAGGGATGTCTGCAATATCTTGCAGGTCCCTGAGCCTTCCTAAGTGTTGACCTTCTCAGCTGGATTGGCCTTTATCACATTTTCCTAGGAAGAAAATTATCTGTTGCCTTCTTTGTTTCATAGAATGGTATTATGGTCATTTTAGAAAGCCTCCATGGTTATCTTTCCTTTTATGATTTTGGGTAGACAGAAAAATTTGATATAAAAATGAAGTATTAATATTTAGTATTTCAGATTAAGAAAAGAGAGACATGAGCATGCCAATGGGCTTGCTAAAGGTAACAGCTGTTGTGGCATTCACCACTCCGCTGAAAAGTTCTAGGGATTGGCAGATGCATATGGCTTGGAATGTATACACCTGTCCAATGAGTATTAATAGAGACAAGCAACACATTTCTTCTGCAAATTGTGAACAGAACAGCTGCTAGATGGTAATGTCCTAAAATGACTGTCTACTATAGTCACCCTAGAATCAGTGACCTAGGGGTGAAAGCTTACATCCTATTATTAAATTCTGAGTCATCCAGATCTTCATGGGTAACAGTGTAACAATTTTTTTTCCTTTATACCTTAAAGCACCTTAAATATTTTTAGAAACCTTTGTGTTCACTATTGAGTTTGAATGCAGTTGTTTTCACACAGGTGAATTTATAGATCCTATCATGCTAGGCGTGATTTTTGGCAGTCCTAAAGAATAATATGAGACTGAAAATTCGTTTTGAAGTCACTCTGCAAATTTGAAAAGTGAGAATTAAGGCATATGTAAGCTTATTCTTTTGCATACAGAATTTATGTGTGTGTGTGTGTGTGTGTGTGTGTGTGTGTGTATTTTGGGGGTACAGTAACATTTGCTTTCACACCTTACTGATTCAAGCCCTTATTTTCGTCATCTCTCTCTACTTCGTTTTTCTTTAACAATTTTTTTCTTTTTTCCCCCTTTTTTCTTTTGCTTTTCAAAATCTGGTTTTAACTGGTTTAAATTTGATTTCTGAAGAGGAATCTTCTGTTGAGTGCTGTGCCCTGGGGCCAGCAGGGTCTTCTCCAAGGCATGCTGCCTGGGTGTTTTCCTTTCCCTTTCAGCTGTCTGTGGATGAGGCTATATAGAGAAACGCTGCATTGTGCTCCACTACCTAAAACATCTCAAATAACATTACAAGTACTACTGACTTAAGGCATCAGCTGATACCTGTAGAGTGTGAATTTTTTTCCTCCTAGAGTAGAGCTCAGCTTTTATACTTGGAGGCTCTTCCTTACTCCTGCTATGAAAGACATAAAAAGGGAGTCATTAGAACTTGAACTGTCAGCTTTTTATTAAGAGTTTGTGATGGGCAATGTAGATAAATACTTGAGTGATAATTTCTTATTCTTATTCATTTATTAGTGTACCATTTGTACATTTAACAAACATTTATTTGGATAGCTGTATGCACCATGAGATATCAATAGTGTATTAAATGTCCTCAACGAACCATCTTACAGCCTTGTTG